GGGTGAGGATGAAGGGAAAGGACAGAAACTGAATGTGATGAAGCACTCGTGTGAGAGGGTAAAACTCTTAATCATAACTGACTGCCATTGCAGTTAATCATATAACCTTTCCAAGAATGACCATATTGTGAGACTCACAACCTCAAAGGAATTTTTGCAAGGAAAGATGCCTCCAAGTGACTGTAAGGTCTATTAGTCTACATAACATTTTCAGATAGTCACGCCAACTGCCCTTTGTCCTTTTTTCCTTGTTCTGCACTTCATGCATCCTCACAGCAGTGTAATGCTTCTTTCTTCAACATGGTGATTGAGAAAACAAAGCATTGGTTGTTCTATCAATTTCTCTTAACAGATGGCAGTGAACTGAGTAGTAGCGACATTGCCTAGCATGAAGCATAATACTAGGTAGATGCCACCTATTTCCTTTGGAGTGTTTGTGGTTACTACAGTCACAGAGGGACTTCTTTATCTGTGTGGCCTGCTGCTTCATTGAGAGATAAACATAGGAACTCTTGGTTTAAGAAGGGAAACCACAAACTAAAAAAAAAGTGCACACGAACATACACGCACATACACACAGGCCAGTGACAGACTGGACTGCATGAACATACAAACTGTCCAGGAAATCTGGCTAAGCACTTGCCGCTATTCTTAGTAGAATAACAACAAAGTTGACCTGGAAGTGTCACTGTGATATAAGTATAGCTGGAACATTGTTTTATTACAATGTGCTGTCCACCAGATGAAGGAATTGCATGGGGTGTTTCAAGGGAACACAACATAAACTCTTGCATAAAACAGCATTCTCTTAAATTGTATGAGACCCTCTCAATCAAAATAGTGGGTTTAATGAATTTTTAAAGCACTAAAGAACCAGCCTGTTGACTATCAATATAAGGCAACCAGCAAGTTCAAAGGAAAATGCATATTTAATCATTTTCAATTGCAGTTTACAACAGGATGCTTTGATCCTAAACAAAGAACAACAAAGCATGGAGATATGGAACCGATGTGATGTTGAAGAAGGTTATACTACCATATTCCAGATACTTTCAGAGAGGTTACACTTGATTGGTAGAGCATTACCTGCTGCAGAAAACTGAACTGGATTCCTGTACAATGATCTCTAAATAAATAATAAATAAATAACTCCAGAAATATGGCACTACCAGCTTACACACACTTCTCATTATGTCTTCAACAGCAGAAATGAGCCAAACTGGGTAAAGCTATGCAGTATAATCCCTGGGGAGGGCAAGAATGGGGAGGTCTGAATTCTTGGTTGCTCTTACCTGCAGCTCTTGTGTCTGTTAACATTAGATCACACACCCTATTCTATATAGGGCCACCTCATCAATGAATAAAGAGGACTGTGGCCACTATGTATCCTTTCGTGTTCTGCGGCAACTAACTTTAGAAATTCTGCAGCCAAAACATTGAGTCCATCTCCATGTGATTTCTTTCCTCTTTGTGAAAGACAAAGAGAGTGAAGTCTGAAAACTTTTTTGTTTGGTTCAACGCTTTTCATTTGCAATCTTTTATTTCCCCCTTTTGCTAGACATGCCATTCATGTACAGAAGAATAGCCCCAAAGAGGGGTGTTTTGTTGTTGTTGTTGTTTGTTTTTGATTTTGTTTTTTTGTGTTTTTTTGCTTTTGGTTAAAACATTCAGATATTTGTTGTGTCATTGCACATCCAAAGCCTTTTGGGGACATCTGAAAGAGGGAAAGCAGTGTTACCGTGATACCCAATAAGGAGAAGACGAGACAACCTGACTCAGGTGCCCTTGTTAAAACAGCACCCCTGTGAGTCATGGCCAGCATCCAAATTATGTTTCTATTAACTAAAAGCAGTCATACCCAGATGTTCACCACACTACCAAGTTTCAGAACCATAATACATTCTCCAGGCCCCTCCCAATAATAAAATACTCATCAATGCGACTATATTACTAGTAATGAAACTGACTCATAACTAGACAACTATGATTTGATGTAATGTTTTATATGTTCAACTATACCCAGATATAGATTTATAATATATTAAGCCAAACAACAAAATACATATGGCACTTCTTCATTGACATCATTTCTTGACCTTGGACAGAAAAGGGAAAGCCATCTTTTCAGATCAAGAGCCTTTCCAATTTTGTCCTAATATGTAATGAGTTCACACATACATCAACAACAGCAAATATAAATAAAAAGGAAGTTCAACAGTCCATTTACCTGAGCTTCTTTCATAACATTACATGACAATATTTTAAAAACCATTAATTTTAAACAATTAGAAAACATTAAAAACGATAGGTTCATGAATATCTCTAATTTCTGCTTAGAAAAAGAATGTGCCACAAAACACATGCAATATGTAAGTCCTGCTAATCAACGCTTTTGATACATACACATGAACAAGAGGCATTTAAAAACAGCTTGCACTTCTTAACCCACCTGTTCTGAAGAGGCTCCAGAGAGAATCACTGGACTTCTTCAGAGTAGTTGGCTAGAAAACCAGCAGTCTGTATCAAACTCTTTCATCAATGGCAGTAGGACTCATGGGGTGGGCCACACAATCAAAAGATAAACACTCTGTAGGCACAATAAAGCACATGCATTTATGCCCCTCCCAAACACATGTAGATTAAGATGTGACCCAGTAAAATATGTAAGCCCAAATCTCACATTCTTCTATATCTGAAAAAAATAACGGAAGCATTACAAAATCTGTGCTGATGCGCATATACAGCTGCAGTCTTGGACCAAAAACAATTCTTCAGTGATATCTAGACATTCATAAAAAAAAGCCAGATCAATGTGTGAAGAGTGTAACATGCTCACTCTGCTTCACAGTTGCTTTACTTACACTAAAAGTCAGAAGTAGACAGCTTCATGCACATGTGGAGGCTCACAGTGCAAGCAAAAATGTTGATTTAGATGCATATGCACACATTCATAAAATCAGAAATTGGAAACATTACTTGCTTTGGACTACACTTTACATAAACCATGAGCATTGACAGGGAGTCTCAGGGGCTTATAGTTTAATGAAGTAATTTTTCCAAGCTCTGCACATTACATACAAGGAGGAGGGAAAAGCTTCCAGCTAATGATTGTGTGACCTAACCCTTACTCTCATGTAGGTAGGTACAGTGCAGGTAAGCTACACCAGACACACTGGTGTAACCTAATTTTGTTCTGGTTAAGAAAATATTAGAGAGATTTGTAGATTTGTTTTTTGGACCATGACTCCCCAAATTCCTCAGGCAGCATTCTTCATAAACACCAAATCTACACATTGCTAGAAAATATACAGAGCACCCTTTCGCTTTGACCATTTCTTAGCAGATTTCACCTGTGACAAGCAACTATCTGCCACAAGCACTTGTGGTAAAAAGAAAGCATATACCACATTTCGGAATCACAGTTTGTACTGTCCCTTACTGCCTTGGTCCTTAACATATTCTCAGGCTTCTAATCTACAACAGCTAGTTGCAGAATGCTACTGTTACTGATTATACAGACATGTTAAACAGTTTACATTCATTTACAGAACTTTGGTTTATATGGTTGGATTTAGACTTTAAAAAGAATGCCTGTTTTCCACACAGTTCTCTGTAAATCTCAGAGGCATATGAAGTGCCCTGCTTATGTGAATATTTTAGCTGTCTCGCTTCAGCTTCTGATCTGTTTACACATTTAAACTAAGGATGAAGTTTGCTGAAAGAGAATCAAAGGAAGGGAGAGAACTGGCAGAGTTTGGGACGCTTGATACACTTCTCATCCCTGCACAAGTGGTCGCAGAAACAAAGGCAGGATTAACTAGAGGGCTCACATGTTATAGATTATAATTTAACAATGGTGCCTGACATACACAATCCAGAAACTCCACGGAATACTGTATCTACTGAACAGCCTTAAACAAGTTGAATAATCGTTCTCTACCTCAGGGATTTGGAATTACAGGTCTCTTTAGCAACATATTCCCATTATCTTGTGTTTATTTAAATTCTAGGGTCCTTTGGGGAAGTTAAACTGGAATAAGACTGAGAACTGCGTGGAATGCCCCGTGACCTCTGTACGAAGCAATGGATCCTGCAAGAAATCTCAGGCAGCGGCTGCATGGAACTGAAGTCCACTCAGATAAACTGAGACAAGATGGCTCAACGGGGTGTGTGTATATTTGCTTCTACTACTGAAATATGCGGGAACATTCTTGTCATGTAACTAAAATGTAGATTCCCCCCCCCCCCGTATGCTGAATGCTTCTGTTTTGAGAAAGCTGGCACAGATGATAAACCCCAACACTTAGCTCATCATCTAGCAATCTTTAAACGTTACTGTCTGCAGGGTTAAAACAGCATCTCAGCTGTTGTAGGTCTGTACGCGGGGTGGTCTGTCCAATGCTACATCTTGACACAGGGGATGCCTTGGGACACAGAGGGAGGGAAGGAATGAAGATAGCTTGGCCAGGACTATTCAAAAGCAGTTCCCATTGTAATCTACCCAAAACAATTGGTCTTGTTGGTCAAGAATGATGGGGAAAGGGAGAGATGCTGTGTCGGAAAGCACGAATTCTGCTCACCTCACAACAAAGCCTAGCCAAGCATTCTGTATGTTTTCTTCACACTAAAACAATAGCCTATTGTGACACCATAGGTAACTAGTCACAGCCACTCTGAAGTTTTCAATAGGAAAATGTGTATCTACATTTTAAAAAATGCATTAAGCATTTCTGCAGAAAACGGACAAACTTAATGGAGTAAATTCAGAATATGTGTCCAAATGGGCACCTATATTACCAAAAGCTAAATGCAGGGGAAGTTTCATCCGCCTTTCCAGATAGGAATGATGTCAGTCAAGCTCAGAACTGCAGAACTGGAAGCGACCCTATCGACTATCGAGTCCAGCCCCTGTGAAGGGAGCAGTGAGGAATCGAACTCCTGTCCTCTGGCTCCAGACCAGTACCTAAACCACTGAGCTGTCTGTGAAGTGTGTATTCTGGGTATATTTTTATGTAAACCAGATCTCTGGTTTTATATGCTAATTAAGAACTTCAACAAGGAAAGACACTCAATAAATGATTCCACCACTGTAAATGCAGATAAGATTTAAGCATAAAAGAGGATTCTTTGTAATATGATGCAGATTTTGGTGGAAGCCAATCTTGACTGGGTCCAATGGTCTTCTCCCACTGAGCATAAATAGGGTTACAATCTTCGTTCAGAGAGCTCAGGATCTTTCTGAGTTCTGGCAGGGTTTTGCATTATCGTTTGAGGAGTAATGTCATTGAAACTGTTTTATTTGTAAGCTGGCCTCTCCCAAAGTGGATGATAATACAAATTTCTTTCCTCAGAAATCTAGAACATGATATCTATTTGTAAGAAGCTAACAGTGCCCCAAAAAGAATTCTCAACTCTACACTACATGACTGGTATAAACGTGATACTATGCCAACTTGATACAACTACACACTACAGCAATCGCACAAGCCGTTCTCTCCTTCACATGATCAGTTGTACACCCTGTTTTCCAACCACTAAACAAAATGGTTGCACAAATCATAGTCTGCTGGCAGTGGAGGTGGTGACCAACTACATAATTCCCCTTTTGCTCCATGATTCCTCAAGAAGATCCTGGCCCATTATATACATTCATGGTGTATTTTTGCCCTCAGAAAATTACTAACCGCATTCATCATAGGATGATCAGATACTTACCTTTGTGAATTCATCCCGAGACCCAATGAATGATTGCAACCTGCAAATATTTACAGGTGTGTATTTGGGAACACCAACCCATGGAAGCGAGTAGGGAGATAATAATCTCATGGTATAGCCATTTGTTGGAATGGAAACTGTTAACGCAAGCTCTAATCTACACTGAGATTCCCAAAGATGGAGACACTGGCTCAATATATTTGTTTCTTAAGAAAATTGAATTCTAGTCAAAAGCATAATTTCAGTTTAGACTGCTAGGTCTTTTATAAGCAAGCAATGGCAGCAAAAGTTCTGTAAACCCAGGAGACTCTTTCTTAATCTAGAACCAGCAACAAGGAAGCCTCTCTTGTCCATAAGAAGCTGTAAAAATCTGCAAGTAAGAGAAAGATAACATGGAGGACTGGGTGGTGTACAAAGCAGAATGAAATGGATTCCTGTTGCTACTGCAACTATGCATTCATCTACTAACAATGATCACCTACATCATGGAACTTGAAATATGCTAACCCAATTTTTTAAAAAGGCGGACATAGACAATTTGATAAGAACCACAGAGGGCCCACAGTGTCATGGCAAAATTTAAAACAAAAACGGCAGGGAAAGGAAGATCAAGTAAAACTTATATAAAAATATGTATACTTATATATATATATATATACTTAGTTCAAATATATCCATACAGAAAACTTTGTGTGAAAGAACAGAGAATAAACAAGAGACGTTAAAGGCATATTCAGGCTAGCTTGTTACATACAAGGCATTTGACAGAGGCAAATTTCTGTCAAAGTGTAGATAAGTGGACGTTATTCTGCCTTCATCTGTTCCCTAACATCCAAGGGCAATGTTTCAAACAGGGCATCTTCAACCACCAAACCACTTTTCTTCAGAGATCTACATTCACCAAGTTCATGAGGGAGAACTTCTAGATGGTTTCCTTTGATGTCCAAGTAGGAAAGCAACACCAGATTTCCAATCTTAGGGGAGAGAACAGACAAGTTGTTTTTCCCAATCTTCAGCGTCTTAAGTTTTTTGCAAAAGTATAGCTCATCAGGCACGCTCTCCACTTTGTTGCAAGTGATTGAAAAGTACTGTAAGCTTTGTAGCACCCCTATCTCAGGGGGGATGAATCGGATGTCATTGTAAGACAAGTCTAAATATCTAATTTTGTTGCATAGGAAAAGGTGGGATGGGAGAACCTCTATCTTGTTATGACTGAACGAAAGTCGTTCCAGACTAGTGAGCTTCTTTATATGCTCAGGGATGTAGGTTATACTGTTGTGCCAGAGCTTTAGGATCGTAAGTTTTCTAAGGTGCTGAAAGCTAACAATTTCTTCTATTGATTTGAGATTGTTTTCTTTCAAGTCTAATTCCTGGAGGCTAACAAGGCTGAAAACAGCATGCGGAATGCGCTCTAAGTCACAATGCACTAACTCCAGTTCTGTCAAGTTGACCATTTTCTTCAAGTTGTTGAGCATCACCAGTTTAGTGCCATCGTTGTGAATGCACATTTTTTGAAGATGACTTGAAACGTCAACCACAGACTGTGGGATTTTGGACAGGTTGCTTTTAATATACAGAACTTTAAGGTTCTTAAGTTCTCGAAAAGATTCCAAAGTTATATTTTTAGAAATGTCGTGGCATAAGGAACCAATTAAGCTCAGCTCTTCCAAATTTCGGAGTCCATACATCCAAGGCGGCAACTCTCGGAAGTCATCAAACTTGACATTCAAGACTTTCAGGTTTTCTTTCAGAAATGCCAAGGCCGCACTGTGGATCTTTGCCGAACACTGGTACAAGGAGAGCTCCTGGAGATTATCCAGTTGTACAATGGTGGCTGGTATCATGACGTTATTTATTATTTCGAATTTCAGTGACTGAAGCTCTGTAATTTCAAAAACAGTGTCAGGAAGCCCAGAAAGCATAAACAGTTGCAGCTCCAAACGGTTATGAGAATTCATCTGCAATCTTTGCCTCAGTTTATCAGCCGTCCATTCATTGTTTAGATTCAGCTGCTTTAGTTTGTTTTCACTGACCTCTGAGAGGAATACAGCAAATCTTTTGGAATAAAGCGGGTCATACTGATCTATCAAATGGAGCATAAAAGCAAAATCATTTCTGACATCCGGGATGTCGTCAATTCCAGTCTCCTGTCTGACGTACTCAAAAGAGTATTCCTTTAGTGAGCGATAGAACAACCAATACAAAGTGTAAAGGCACGTAAATCCATAGATACTTACAAAGCACAAATAGCAGAAGGAAAGTTTAGAAAACAAATGGGCCATAGTGTGATTGCAAGAAAAGTGCTTATATCCTGTCATGTCTTGTATGTCCACATTGCAGTCTACTGTAAACTGAACTTTTGAAACAAGTGCACTGTTATAAGCAATTATTATAAGAAACTTAATCACTTTCAGCACAGTTTGACGAACATACATAGCATAGAGCAAATCACCTTCCTCTACATGGAGCCGGAACTTTTTCACCTTCTCAAACAATGCTTTGGCCTGTTCACCTTCCTTTTTATCCAATGCCCCCGGAGTCCCCTTATCCACAATGAATTTCTCAGGAATAGACCTCAAAGACTGAGTCTTGACCAAAGTCCCTTCTGGGCTAGGCTGAACAGCATTTGACCTGCTGGTATTGTTTTTCCTGTTGTCCTTCTCTTCGGAATCCTCTCCTGAAACCTCAGACAGAGCGCGTGTTGTCCAAGGAGAGTCAAAACACTTGCCCAAAATAGAGATGAAATGTTCAATTTTTGAGCTCGACCCGGGAAATTTGAACCAGAAGTTGCTACACAGCATGAAAATTAGAGTGTGTATAAGGACAAGGTAAGGGAAGTACTTTGCATACCAGTGCAGGGCACGTTCATAGCACATTTGGTTGATAAAGCTGTACTGCTGGAGGTCTAAGTCAGTCTTTAGGCCCTTCATTTCCACAGTAGCAGGAGGTGTGGATGGCTTTGGTGGAAGAAAAGGGCTTGCACTTGAGTCTAAACCTGATGATGCATTTAGAAGGTGGGAACGATTCTGTGAAGGCTGTACTTGTTTTGGAAGGCATATGATCTTATCCTGCATAACCTGAAAGGAACACAAACAGGAAAACACTTTTTTAAAATATGTACTATGGAAAAAGAAAATAATCCAGTGGTGGACAAAAAAGTCAGTTGCTTGACCTCCAGAAACATCTCCTGCCCTTGAGATCCTTGGACTTGAAATAGGAATCATGCTATCTCAGGCCTACTGTATCATTTTGACTATCCACATATCCATTTATCTCATAGACAGAAAAATTCACAGCATAATAAATTTTAATTACATTAATCTGTTTGTAATATATTTATCACACTTAAAAGGCAGAGACATCACCTTGCCAACAAAGGTCCGCATAGTCAAAGCTATGGTTTTTCCAGTAGTGATGTATGGAAGCGAGAGCTGGACCATAAAGAAAACTGACTGCCGAAGAATTGATGCTTTTGAATTGTGGTGCTGGAGGAGGCTCTTGTGAGTCCCCTGGACTGCAAGGAGAACAAACGTATCCATTCTAAAGGAAATCAACCCTGAGTGTTCACTGGAAGGACAGATCCTGAAGCTGAGGTTCCAATACTTTGGCCATCTCACGAGAAGAGAAGACTCCCTGGAAAAGACCCTGATGTTGGGAAAGTGTGAGGGCAGGAGGAGAAGGGGACGTCAGAGGACGAGGTGGTTGGACAGTGTGTCATTGAAGCTACGAACATGAATCTGACCAAACTCTGGGAGGCAGTGGAAGACAGGAGGGCCTGGCGTGCTCTGGTCCATGGAGTCACGAAGAGTTGGACACAACTAAACGACTAAACAACAACAACAACAACCCCCTAGGATTCAGAGAAAATTACGGGGCTGGAGTTTCTGCTCCCTCTGCAGAATATATCAACACAAAAAACCAGGAATATATTGAAAGGATTGGATGTAGTTTTTTTAATATAAACTACAGTGTATGTGTGTGTGTGTGTGTGTGCATGCATATAAAAACATAATCTAAATGCACATACATATACACTGAATGTAGTTGAACCTGGCTCTGCTTCTCCACCAGCTGGAGAATGGGGCACTGAAAGAGGCAAATATACAGTGATCTTAGTTTCATTATTAATAAAAAAGTGAAACCCATTAGTAAATCATGACTTTAGATTTTCAGAATATATTCAGAATTATCTAACAAGAACAAACAGCTGGTTCTGCTATACAAGTATAATAGAGTACTACAGAGAATGTTTCAAGGATACCTTTCTGGCATTGTTTTACAAAACTAGAATAAACATGGGAGTATAGATTTATCCAAATTGTTAACACTAAACCACATTACTGTAGGACAGGTGCGGGCAACATGTGGACCACAAGCCACATTTTTATTTTCCACCAAACCCTTCCCCTTCTTTTTTGTTCAATAAATTCCTTTGTGCCTGCCAGGGGATAGGGGGGATTTTTCCACGTCTGGAAGTATGCTTAGCAACCCCTGGAAATCTCCATGCACCAACTCTATTTTAATGTTTTTGTTTTTTTTAAAAAAGATCATTAGACCCTTGAAGGTATGGCACCTGATTTAGTTTAATCCTCCTTTTTAGTTAAATCTGTTTTTTCAAATTAAAAAAAATTAATTGTTGCAATGTTTACATGACCACTGCATTTTTTAAAAAATCATATAAAATAATTAAACATGCAGATTAGCATATCTGGCCATGACCTTCCTGTTTAGCCACATCACCTTGGGCTGCGGGCAAATCTGAAAAAGAGCCCCTTGGCTCCGCTGAGATTGCCTACCTCTCTATACAACAAGCATGAACTTAAAACTGGGATCCTTCAGCTTGGATGGCAAACCTGTTAGAAGAGCCCGAAAAATCCACAACAACCTGTTAGAAGCATTGCTCATTCAAATATTCATCTCCCGCTTTGTGAAAGCTGACACTGTAAATGGCAGAAGAGTTACACCTCTTGAGGATGGGGGGGTTGGAACTGTATGCAGATAGCAAAAAGCCTTAAAATATATCTATGCCAGCTCTGCTCTTTCTCTTCTATCGCAGTAGCTGTGTATCCTGCAGTTGCCTAGCAACTGGGATGCTATGTCAGAACAGTCTTCTTCTTGCCAACCCAAACGGCTAAATGGGTGCTGCTGCAGTGGCACTATGGGAATCCATCCAGTCACAACCAAAAATAATAATAATAATCCCACTAATTTTATTAATTAATCGTACATTTTGCACTTCCGCCAAGAGGAGCTTCACGATGGTTATATAAAATTCCCAGGCAGTCTCTCAAAATCTGAAACATTACTCTCTTGGCTTAAAATTCCCAGAAATCCTCTAGCCAGTACAATCCTCAGTTGCAGCCCCTGAAAGTAATGGTTCTGAGCTCTGAGCTCTATTCCAAGTGGCTGAGAAGACTAGACTAGATCCACTAACCTTCATCAAAAGAACTAAATTACTTACTTCTGTGTGACAGTAACAAGTGTGAAGATCCATCATAACTTACCATAACAGTGCTAGTGGTAACAGTCCTGTTGACAGCTACATGAACTTGCCTGCTCAAGGGCATTTCCAGGCTAGTATGCAATAAATAGCCTTGGCAAGGAAAAAAGGCCACACAATAAGGCCAACAAGGCGAGTACTTCCAACTATCATATGCCTAACATGAAACCAAACGCCATGCAGTATTCTAACCAGTGTACAGTAGATTATGTATTTAGCACTTTCATCAATAACAATGACACTGCACATGGTGGGCTAGTCTCAGCTGCTGTCATTACTTGAGCAACTGTGAATTATCACCAGCAGACTCATCTAAACGTGCTTCAGAGGAAGACCTTGCCTATCATCAAGAAATGCCATTTATAAATAGCAACAGGAAGAAATGCAAATATTTGCATTCCCGCATGCCGTTTCCTTGAGCTTCCTTCACTTGACCATCCTAAGTATGCTTACCTCAGCAAAAAGAACTGGCTGCTGCTTACTGTGGCCCTCACTAATATTAATTTTCAATAGATCCATGAAACAAATTCAGAATACTATGTATATTAAAAAGCTATGCTAGACATTCACAACAACATTACCAAAACCATTTGGAAGAGGGGGGAAAGAGGGAATGGTCAAGACCTGCATTTAGAGGCCTGTAACTGAACTGAGGAACTGACAATAGCCCACTGTTCCTCTGGCAAATTGGTGGATCACAAAGTAAGCCACCTAGATCACACAACTGGGGTAAACCGTTCACGGCCGCTGGCACCTTGTTCAGTGTTCACCGTCACCTCCCCTGGTAGGGAGGGCTCATGCCTGAATTTTCATAAGGAGGTTCCCATTCTGGCATTCTGAACATTCCATCCAATTTTTCTCCTTCCAGTCTCTCTTCCACAAAAGAAAGTCCAAACATATCTGATGGTCTATGCATACACGGACTGGAATAAGACTAAACACTAGCTAGGCTGGAAACAAAAGCAGGAGGTCTGTGGCCAAGAATATAGGCTTCCAGAGTCCAAAATTTCAGGCTTGCACTCTTTGTTGACTGCCAGTTTGGAGGAAGACAGATAATTCCTCTGAATACAGCATGTGCCGAAGGAGGGGGAGACTCAGAACAGCTTAGTGCCATATATAGTATTTGGGTACTGTTTATGAAACAGAAATTAAAAATAATTTGCGATGTCCCATATTTTTCGGCTTTCATATTTCTATCCCACAGAGGCTAGTCTTTGCAGAAAGAGGGAGACACTCCTGAACATGTAGAGAACTATGTTTTCATCCTCCCCACAGACACACACTGTGCCCAGGCATAGGGAAAAATCATCAGCGACAGCCAGTGACACACTCCAAACCTAGCCCTTATTATTTATGGGGAGAAAATAAAGAGTGGGAATTATGTGACATACAGTATGTTCCCCAGTGTGGCTCCTAGGACTTCTGGCGGGGGGGCTGTTGATGAATAAAGCTTCTCGCTCAAAACTGGGGAATTACACCCTCAGAAGCCTCCAAAGATTGCAACTCTCAGTGTAAAAACTATTTTAGTACTTTCCCCATTTTGGCAGCCTGAATTGGCCTTATTTTTTACCAAGACCAGAAGTCACCAATAGGTCAGTACTCATACTGTGGGGAAGAGGGGAACTGCCCTGAACCCCCTGCACAGGTGTCCAACCAGTATACGTAATCAGGAGGCTGTACTCTTATGACTTCAATGAATCCATACACTTGCAAATATAAACTTCTGGGCCTCTGCACATACATGCTTGCATATTCAATAGGCAGATGCAGCCACATGGATGCCTTCTGCATCACTTTGCATGCTCTCTATATGCAAATGTTTAGATAGGAATAGTACATCTGTCGAGCTTTAGACAGGGTTAGTGCATCCATCTAGGAGCAAGACTTCAGGGAAAACAATAGCCTCTGCACATACATGCTTGCATATTCAAGAGGCAGATGCAGCCACATGGGTGCCTTCTGCATCACTTTGCATGCTCTCTTTATGCAAATGTTTAGATAGGAATAGGGTTTATATATATAAAAAGATTCAAATTATATATATATAAAAAGATTAAAATTAAGAATGTTCTCCAAAGACAGTAAGATAGTGGCAAGGCCTGTAAAGTGCTTCAAGGAGAACGGATTTTTAAAAAAATCTATAACGCATTTCTGAAAAATGCCTCCCTCAGGAATAGCACAGTTGCAAGTCCTCCTGTTCCAAAAGAAGCTTCCTCGAACCTGTCATTCAAGAGAGTGTTCTTTGTATGTTTCTTTAGAGACATCATTGTCCATGCTAAACAATAATTTGACATTCTCAAAAGTTTTGGTTAACCTTGGGGATTTAATATGAAACATTACTTAACAAGTAGCCTTAAATTTTTCTCTCTTTTCGCCTCCGCGACTAACAAATGACATATGGGGATGTGAAATAAAATGTGTTCACACCATCTCCAGCATACACACAAGGGGGGGGGGAAACACTGTAAATTGCCAATTTGGAGGGGGGGAATCTGAAAGAAATTGATCTCTCCAAATGACTGAAGCCAATTAAGAAAGCTTCAGATAACAAATAATAAAGAAGTGGCAGTGTTTGGAGTAAGGGATAAGGAATTTGATTTGACAGGACAAGTGTGAATACCGGAGTAATGCAACATTCAGTTGGGTATTTGTTTCTAAAGTGGGTTAAATATATTGTTAATAACTCAGATTTGGAAAAGTTACTTTTTTGGACCACAACTCCTAGAATCTGCCAGTCAACATAGCCACTGCTAGGTCGTGGGTAGGTTTGAAGTTTAGCCCGGTCCAAACATACTTTACTACTTGGCTTGTTGCACATGCCTTTAAAAGGTTGGTACCACTGGCAGAATGTGTTCTCCAAAGGAAATAAATTATTTTAGCTAAGGAAATAGAGACGGGGAAATTGGCCTGACCAACTGCCGCCAGCCTCAACATCTCTGCTGGCACTTGGGAATTTAAGGTCCTTGGTTTGACAGCATCTGCTCCTAGATTGTGCTTCTGTTTATTTACCTGTAATGTGCAACCAAACACGCCAATCATCAGCATGGCGACAGAAAGATAGTCCGTAAACACATCCCACCATGGCTTTAGCACCCGGAAGGCTGGCTGTTGCTCAGAGAACTGGCGGAATTCAGTGACTGGAATCATTGTTCTGCAAGACAGTAAAAGGGAAGGGCGTGTGTGAAAGAGTTAGCTATTATTCTCATTTTAAAATTTCATTCGACAAAACCTAATGAGAAAAGGGCATGTTTCCCCTTTCCATTGAGTTAGGTGATAGCCATTTTTTTGGAGCTTGGAAAAGTTATCTTTAGATGGTAATCTCCAGAATTCCCCCACTCAACACTGGAGATTGTTAAAGAAGCTGTGGTCCAAAAATAAACTTTTCTAAAATTTGCAAACAAAGTTCAAACATCACCAGGCTCTGCCTTCAAGCCAGGGCTAGCCATCAAGGCTGAAAAGAGCCTTCCCGTTCTCCAAGATTCCTCCTCACTGTGAGATGAACTATTAAGGCAGTCTGTCTTTCTGATTTGCTTCAAACCTTGTGAGAGGTGCACCCAACACTCATCCAACCGCAGTGTTTCTGTCAGCGACTTCTACAGTCAGCAAGCCGGGGTTCCCACACTCCCATTTATCTAAGTAATTTTCTCTTACTGTATTAGCCTCTTCCCATTCTTTGCTTGCCCCTAGGAACCCAATCTCTGCTTTTACTTGACAGACCCACATGAGCAGAGCTCGTCTCACTCTAAGACAGACTGGACTCGAAGCTCATCTACTCAACCCAGCTAGTAACCCCAGCTGAGGACACTCCTACCCACTAGTCCTCACAACCACCGAGGCTCAATTATGTTACAAGAGCAGTGAGTCTGCTCCTTTCCCATGGTAACCCCACCACTGTGATAGAAGATATAAACCATGTAAAGATTTCCTGGCTGAGCTCTATAAAAGCAGAATATCATTGGCCATTACCCCTTTGCTTGCAACAACAATATAATCATCAGTCCAAACGGGATATTAAATCAAAAGTACTATTTTGCTATCTGCACGAAAGCAGGCTGAGGGTTGCGTCTGGCCCCCAGGGTGACAAACTGCCCACCTCTGCTTTAGAATTTTCATTTTCCCAAATTAAATTACTTTGAAACACTGATGATTCCAAGACTAGTGATGAAATCCAGGCACCAGACACCATTAGCTAGCCAAGGACATTATTCTAAAAATGCAGACGTGCCAGCTTCTATTATCATGTGCAAAAATCTGTACTGAGTGAACACATAAGCAAAGTGCTTGATTGGAAAGGTCATGACATACTGTTCACCTGAATTAAAAAGTCCAGCGGAGACTGTCTTGGAATGGAACACTAACCATGGAAAAGAAGAGAAAGAGCCACTTAACTTTATCCAGAGAGTAATTTTCTATTTCCATTTAAGCTTTAAATGATCATGAAGTACACCGAAAAATGGAAGAGGGTCTTGCTTTGCTTTTTAAAGAATGATTTGGCAAATCCCTGTCAATAGCAATAAGTGAGACCTTTGTTGGAGCATCTCCTGCACTTTTCCAAGCATTCATTCATTTTCCAAGTACTCATTCATCAGTACAGTGGTTGTCAACCTTGGGTAACTCAGGCGTTTCTGGACTGCAATTCTCAGAAGCCTTCACCACCAGCTGTGCAGAAATACAGAATGAGCCACACAGACCTTCAATGCTGGAGGTCTCTTGGAACTCGCAGCTCTTGCCAGGCCAAAACCTCTTATCTAAATTCTAGTCTGGGTTGTGCCAACTACTGGTAGGGTAAGGAATTTAGTCCAAGATTCAGAACTATGATCTATGGTTACATGATGGCCAGTTTGTGTTGCTAAAACTCTCTTATTTGCTTTTATCTGAAAACAGAAAACTGGTACTTCTTGTAGCTAACGAGATGGTTGAAAGTATCTTCACAATTCCTTCTATATTGCAGTTTTTTTTCAGCTTCTCCTTAACAAGCTCCTTTCTGTTCACCCATGCTTGATAATGCTCACCTGTTCTCTTCTTATTGCTAATCCCCACTATACCTGTCCAAAACTTCCAGTACCTTAAATTGTTGAAGTATGCTTACGTACTTCAGAAACCAAATTCATGCAGCTATTGGCACAACGTAATTTTCAATACAAAACCAATCCTTTCCAGTCTGTGCTCTAGAAACACCTGTTTTCTCTTGGTACAGAGCATGACCACCTTCCAGTATCTCCAGGACTGTGTTCTGAACCTCCACAAAATTGTAGCTAGGATTTAAAATGCTTTTTACTGGCTGGCTCTCTCTGTGTGTGCACACGCCCATGTGCTATGCACAGATAGGCAGCCCATGATTGTCCAGATCTTAATAAACACCCATTCCCCTTAGCCATAGCATCACAGCCAATGGTTGAGAACAATGGGTGCTGTAGTTTAACAGTCCTGGAAACCCACAGAATCCCTATCTGTGGTGGAAAAGAGCAGTCTACAGATTGAAGAGAGGCACAGAGAGGAGTATGCTATTAGCACAAGCCCGGAAGGACCTTGGGTAATAGGACGTCACTCTCTGGAGTTCTGTCACCTGGAGGAAATACATGCTCTGCCTGTGTATTTCTAAATAAAAGTTTTTAACAATACAATTAGCGTCCAAAAGCTCTCTTCTAAAAGAAAAAGGGAAAAAAGCCAAAACCTCGAGTTGCTGCCCATGGCACTTGTCTCACTTGGAGAAATGGGAAGCATTGGCATGTCCGTAACAAAATGCAAGATTAAAGAAAGAAAAGTTGATTTGCTCCTCTGGTGGTAGGGCTATTCTCCAATCCCATTTATCTATGGGAAGACCAGGAGGAAGGATGAAAAAGCAGGTTTGGAAAATCAAACAAGACCACCTAGTGTTTTCTCTTTCTAAAGCTGTTCAGATAGTTCTGGCTTTAAAAATGGCCCCCAAACAACTGTAAATCAATGAAACCTTTAAGAAGCAATGACAACTGTTAAACAATATAATGAAATGGGTGCTTATAAACAGTGTAGATCTGCCATTACTCTTTTGCCCCTTTTGCTACTTTTTTCCTCTTTGAGATTTGTCTACATCAGTAGCGTTTACAATCACAGCAGAGCTGGAAATTTTATTACTAAGTGGCGACTGCCAGAATCCCAGAATTGGATGACAAAAAGAACCCTGTATTTGTTGCATCACCCTTTAGTCCTGAAGAGGCCTCTTGATATTTGGAACAAAATACTAATGCTGAAAACAAAGGAGGAGGGATTTATAGACTTATTAAAGTCAACTTAAATACTCATTCAACGGATGCCATGCTTTACAGTTGCATCATGCCCATGGAAGCCAACTGACAGCTCATGAGGGGCCTGCTTGATGACATTGATCGCAGCATCCCATCCATGCCCAGAGCCAGCCACAACCCCAGATGGCCACTGGAACAAAAGAAGCCCTGCAGTCAGTTTAATTCAGAACAACTTATTCTCAACCAGAAATGTTAGCTGTATATGGAGAAGACATACGAGAAATATGGAAATAGGCTTGTGGATTAAAGGTATGTGCATTATGTACTGTATATGGATAAAAAGGGAGGCTGCAAATGCATAGGAGAAAGGAGAGGAAAGGATCCATAGGGGCTGAGAAATCAAAGCATTGCTACTAAAGTTTGTGTGGGTAATTATACACGGGGTAATGCCATAGGTATGGGTGCACGTGGAGATGCAAGAAAAAGTTTCAAGTATAAAGTAAGAAAGAGATACATGACAGAAGGGAACTTTGCCTCACCACCTTGCACATTCCCAGTTTCATCTGATGTGGGGAACTAAGCAGGTTCAGGCCTGGTTTGTACCTGAGCGGGAGACCATCTGGGGAATACCAGATATCTCCGAACAAGGCTAAGAAACAATCCTACCTGAATCCTAAAGAGCTGCTACCATTCAGAACTGGAAATACTGAACTAAATGAACCAGTTATCTGACCCAAGGCAGGGTCCTACATTCCTCTGTTCTGCCCCATAGCCATCAGGCCTAATCTGGCACACTGTTGATTCCCCAGTTCAGCCCAGAGAATTCCCTCAGTCCCCTCTTCCCATCCCCAAGGCCTCTTCCTTCAGAAGGGAGACAGGGCAGGAGGAAGCTGGGGACGCTATTGCTGACTTTGCTCCTCAACATCTCCATGGGGGGATGGTAAGGGAGTGGCAAAGCGCAATCCATCGGGTCTTCCCATCCCCAAGGCCTCTTCCTTCAGGAGGAAGCCTGTATAATTAAAAAATTGTAAACCGCCCGGAGAGTGCTTGTAGCACTATGGGGCGGTATATAAGTCCAATAAATAAATAAATAAATAAATAAATAAACATCTCCATGGGGGGGGGATGGTAAGGGAGTGGCAAAGCACAATCCATCGGAACTCTGGAAGAAAGTTGATGGGCAGTGGGGGGGGGATGTACTCCACTTTTCCTTCCCCTCACATTCTCAGGGCTGGATAGGATATATCTGCGCAGCACACATTTCATGTCATTTAAGAAACATTGGCTTTCCTAACTCTGTTTCTGACCTGCCAGTACGGTATGGTTAGAAGACTACTTCATTGAATTCATTTGAAATGGTAGAGCTAAAACATCAGATGACCCCAAGATTCCTCCTTTCTGTAAATCTCCCCATTCTTCTGCATTGGCCACACACTGCATAATGTCAGTTTTCTTATGTGATTTCTCAATCCCTTCCCATTCCATGGGACAAACAGAAGCCCAAACCAATGTAAGATTTCCTAAATAAATTAAGGAAAAACAAGAAACTGTAATGAGCTTGAGGCAAAATAGGCTACTTGTGGACAAAACGCAGGGGGTAATTCAGGAGCTGGTTCTAATTTGGCTTTGATTTTGAATTCTGTGTTTCTCCAGTTGGTCTTACCAATATAAATATAACCATGGTAAGCAGCAAGGAAGTACTAAGTGTTTTTGCTGATGCAGATTAACATCGACGTCAGACTCCAGGCAGTCCAGATGGCCTGCATTCCAGGATATGAAGGAAATTAATTTATTAATCTACTGCCCAGTGGAAACCATGGGAATTATACAGCATGAAGGATGCTTCAGAAGTGTAACAGGCTATGGCTGCAGTTACAAAAGCCAACTCCCTCAAAGTAGGTCAGAACTATTTTGCGAAGGAGA